TTCAAAAGCAAAAATACTAAATATGTAGGAACTTACTTATTATGTTTTTCCTGAAATTTGTAGCATTCTTATCATATCTAGTGGTAAGCAAAAAAAAACAAATAGGTAATATAAATAATTTATTATTAGACTAAAATACAAAAAATGATTAGTCCTTCAAGCACAAATCTTCAGGCTATAGGTTTGTTAGTTCATGACCGTGATTATAACGTACAAAACTACATACAGAAAAACCTTGATATCACAGCTACGACAACACACTTCACAAGTGTTTATGTACACAAATAACTAATAATAAGTCTCTATAATTAATATTGTCCTTATACCTATACTTAAAAATAAAAACTAGACAATAAATAAACGAACTAATGATACTTATAGGAAATAGGAAAATTGAAAATCCACAGAAAAATATACGAATACAAAGACAACCAGACAACTGTCCATCAACTGTCAAATTTGACGTTGTCGTATGAGTGACGTAAGCATTCTGCCTACCCTCGCTTCGCCAACATAGCTACGAGACAACCTACTTAAATATCTACTAACCTTGGTCGGTGGTGCTACAAGTCACACTGTTCTTTTTTGTAGCTACCTTCATCCCAATTTTCTCTTGACACTGCCAAACAGTAGTGCAAGTAATATAAGACAAGTGGGAAGTAGGTTTTGCTGAGTCCGACCGTTCGTAATGTCGGTGGCGCTACAAGTCATTCTGTTCTATGGACGTTCTTTTCTTTGTAGCTACCTTCATCCAAGGTAAGTAAATAGACAGGTTGTCTGGTAACTTTACACAAATCAGCGTCGAGAATCCAATGGCGGGAATGACGTCACTGAGAATGCTACATTCAAAATCATTCACTTTACTCCTTGAAATGAACTCAAAAAGCAGCAATGATTGAAGATATATTATTTTATGTATATTAAAAAAATAGATTTGTAATTTTAATGACTGTATATTTCATTCAATCTTTAAAAAATGTGGGAGATACCTACAGAGTTATAGAAATGACAGAATATAATTGCAACTAAATATATGTAATAGAATAACACTGCTACTAAAGTAGATAAAAGTAGGTTCTTACTTGTATATATGTGACTAAAGCATGCAAATATACTATACCTATTTGAATACAATTGACTTGTTTAAATTATTTTGAGTACATACTTTTGAATTGGGGATAATGCAAAACGCAAGTGCAAAACGTAGAGTATAATTATAAGAGCAATATTAGAGTACTAAAGTACCTATTAGGTTAAAAACCGTTGATAATTCTTTTTGGGGCTGGCGAGCCTTTGTTTTCTTTTCAATATTATTTGTAGTTGATTAGGAGTTAAAAAATCTTTAAAAATATGTTTTGCTTTTTCCTCAAACTTAGTTTCGCTTTCCAGTTAGCTGTGTCAAGTTCTCTAATCTATGATTTAATATTATTTTCAGTATTTTCTTTTTCTAGAAGTTTCTGTGTCCAGCAATATCTATGTTTTCTTTCCTGGTCATACTTTTTCATCTCATATTTCTTTTACGTCATCTTCATTTGGCGAAAGACATAACGAGGGAATTACTAAAATTTAAAGGTTTAATTACAACTAGGTACATGAAGTTATTTTTTTTACTTTATTTTGTAAAACTCAATCACAACTCAAAGTCAATGAATTAACACTATATTTTTTTAGCTTTTAGGTTGAATGTTTAATGGTTTAGTTTTTGAATAACTTATAATCTTTCATGCGATAGTGTAAACTACAAATTCCTTCCATACTGTTTGGACAATTTTGAATTATTTTTGCAGATTGCTACCCTGCAAATATTTCCACCGGTCATATAAATCAACAGAAAATATTTAAATTATTTTATGTTAAACATTTTCATACATTAATGCCAATGTTACTTTTACTATATAATACAGCAGAAATAAAATCGATTAAGTAGGTACTTAACGCAACCACATTAATGTATCTTAAAAATTATTTAAGAGTTTTGGGTTTACGTTGACTCAATGATATCTATGTACACATTATATCTCAATATATAAACATAAACAAAAACATTAACGATATTTAACAACAAAATATGTTCTCCAAACCACTGATCCACAGCCACCTTTACTTCCAAGCCATGAAGTAAAAAAGGCAACACCGCATTCTATGACGTCGGTAGTCCGATAATCCGGTAAGGTCTACCAGAATATTAAACTAATTTGAATTTTAGGAAACTGATAATTACAGAAATATTTTTAGGGAAATTAAATTAATAAAACCTTATATATACCTAGTAAATATATATAAAGTTTTATTATTATTTAGGTTATATTATCAATAAAATAATCACTAGAGTAAAATTTATTGCACTTAAAATACAGTGTCAAACAGTTAATCTTACAATCAAATGCAGTCAAGAATCACTAGAAATTTTAAATATTTTAAGTACTTAAGCATATAAATAACACAAAACATTAACAGGACATTTATAAAGATTATTAAAAATACAAAAGATATAAAATTTGTGATAAGTAAAAACTTAGTGTAACTATTATGATTAAAAAATTCATCCTAAGAAATCAGACACAATATAAATATGGTTCTAAATTAATCTAATTGAAAATTAAATATTTTACTATTTACTTATAACTTTTGTTGAATTTTCATACTTAGATATACAAAAGTAGCAATTTTAAGTATTAATAGGTTTGTTGTCATATAGACCAAGTTAAAAGAGGTATACATGAAAAATGTGTTGAATGTAACATACCATTTATAACTTGTATATCGATTTAAAATAGCCTATATTCTCAAAAGATTTTTGAATGTAATACTCAAATTTGTTATCACTTATCTAAAAAGCAAATCTAATTGAGTAAGTAAGTTCTCTAATTGTGACCATCTTGTTAATTTACTATATTGTAAAATCCATTTCAAATCATTACCACTTAATCTATTCTTACCTACATTGACGATTACAGGATTACACTAAAATTACTGCTAACTATTACACTACATATTACACAAATATTATCACACTTGTGTTCCAACTGATTAATGTTTAATACATAGAAATATACACAATCACTTGTAATTTTACTTGTCCAGTTTTTCAATGGGATATTATTGTCTAAGTCTAATTGACATAATTATGTTATCTCTTGTTCCCTCTTCTTATGCACAAAGTTTCTTCTGTCTTCGGGATTCCTTCTTTCTTTAGTACGATGAACAGTTACATATATGATGATTGATGGTACTTCAGGAAATATATTAGGAACTGCATTGCCTTTTAATTTGGGAAATATTAACTTTTCAATGTGTACATTTCCATCTTTATCTTCTCATTGTTCAGTTCGCTGAATACCATCTTCATGAAAAAGTTTGGCACATACTATGGAAGATTTGGTAATTGTACAGCCTTCTCTATGAATAGAGATTGGTTTTGCAACCAGGTACACAACAATGCCAGAGCATCTGTAACAAAAAACAAAAGTATTATTATTGTTGTTTTTAGTTTACATATTTTGTAACAAGAAACAAAAGTATTATTATTTTCAGTTTGTTTTGTAGGTTATATTCATACTTGCCTGTCGTTAAGAATCTTCTAGAAGTTCTAAATTTAATGAAATTTCACTTATATTAATATTTTCTAATTGATTTAAACACAATTTACAAATAAAACATTCGAATTAAGTTAAAAAACAATAAATTCAACAAACTTTACAATCCATTATATTAAACCAAAACAGACCACAGTCGGACTACCACGAGTTGTTGCCAAATTTCTACTTCATGGCTTGGAAGTAAAGGTGGCTGTGACTGATCCTATTCTGTTTCGTAAAATTGACCCCCTGGGTGACGTCACGGTGACATATTTCATTTAGTCAATATCCTAGTTACCATGCAACCTGTCTTTTACTAACCTTGACCTTCATCCTAACTTTCTCTTGACACTGCCAAACAGTAGTCCAAGTAATCCGCACATGCGTGACATGCGTCTCCCGCTATATTATACCCCCCACCTAACGTGACTAGTAGCGCCGCCGCCATTACGAACGGATGGCCCCATGCAAATCATTCTCCTCACCCGTCCTATTCTACTTACCCTACTATGTAGGTATATATTGTGGTGCCGATGAAGTTAGCTACAAATTATTGACAGATTTGTATTTGGCAGTGTTGCCTCACAACTCACAAATAAATCACGATAGAGCATGCGATATAATATTAATTAATGTTACTAAACATTCTTGTTAAGTTTTTAAAATAAGTTTAATTAATTTAAATTTAATTTATTATAATTTAAATTAACTTTGATTATTTAAGCATTTATTCAGCTACCATTTCATCCCAAAATTATAAGAAAGTAGTCATAAAATTGAAATCTGCCAAACATCTGTTGCAATCTGGCAGCTAGTGTTTTCAAAGTTTTGACAGTATTGCCAAGTTTATTTGCTAATCTACCAAAGGCCAATTATAATTTTTTGTTCTAATAACTAACTGCAACTAATATCAAAAGAAACAAATGTTCATTCGTTCTTGCTTTAAGAATTATGCTTATAAATTTAAGAAATTTTAAAAATACCCAATTTCATAAAATAATAAAAATGTACTTTTTCAAAGCATATTTGAGCACACAAATTTGACATGACGTTTATAGCCAACTTCATGGGCACTTTCTTTATATTTTTGTCACAATGATCTATTAATCAACTACAATCGATTGCATATTCTCATTATTCTTATTAGAATATTTGTGGAGTTTACTTTTTGGTATAAATTAGCTGGACTGGCAACACTAGATTGTCATTTTCGTGAGTTTTGAAGTTCTTAGTTATTCGTATATTTTATTTTCCATAATTTGGTATGCATTTATACGTAAAAGTAGTTTATTAACAAATTACTTTGTTTAAACTACTTATTTTTTATATTTGAATGAAAAAATATTTTTTAATGATTTCTACTGAAACGAAATCGGCAACACCGCGCTGTCAGTTTTACGACTTGTAAACAGTGCCTGAAATGAGTATGTCAAACTAGAAATAATCCTTTATAAGATATGCCAGTTATAATAAAAAAAGAGAACCCTTCCAGCGATAGCAGCAAGAAAGCCATGGGCGATGTAGAAGGAGCCAAATCTGCTATAAAAAGATTTATAGGAGATGTTAGTAAGAGCTCTGCTAGTAAGCAAATAATCCTGGGGGCCTCCTCTGGATGGTAAGAACTATCATACAGTAGCTATTGTTTATTATATTTATTAGAATATAATTTAGAAATGTCTCTATTGTAGTTTACAGAAGTTATTCTAGTCCTAACATAAAAACTTTATTACTAATGTTCTATTTATATTACTTTGCATCACATGATTGATAACTTTGTGTAAATTCTTATTGACTTACACATTTTATTGTGGCAGTATATTTCCTTGATATAAGTATGACAGGTTATTAATCTGCTATTTAAATTTTTATAAACAATAGGATATAATTATATATCCCATTGTATTTGAACATTTTGCTTTTCTTTCAACAGAATGAAAACTTGTGACTAAATGACTAGAGACTGGGCTTAATTTTGTTCATGATTGAACATGCTTTAGTTTTTTTGGGAATTTAACTGCATATAATTTAAATTATCACTTTAAAGTAGATATAAGGTGAAGTGGGGTATATGTGGATGGAATATAAAGTTTTATTATGAAGTTAGTTGGGTTTCAAACTACTTTCTTTTTGTTCGTAGATATGTATTAGTAATCTATTAATATGTTCTCTTCAATAGAAGATGAAAAATGAATTGAAAGAGAAGAGTATTGACATTCTTCTTTCACATGTAAGGGTCCACAGTTACCTGTTAATTTAGGGTAACTGTGGACCCTGACGGGGAGGTCCAGGAAAAAACAACATTAAAAATGCAAAAACGAAAATTTTTATTTAGAACCATGAAACAACAAAAAGCTAGGCAATATTTTTGAATCTCCTTAAATCCTCACAAAACGTAACAACATTTTCATCTTCTGATTTTGGGTCGTTCAGTATTCCTAATATCTTATTAAAAGCGAACAAGAGAGGCTCGTTTTGCTCACGAAATTTGAAGGCATTTTCCACATATCGTTTCAAACATTTGATTATCATGACTCTTTTCACTGCATTAATTTTGACATAATAGTCCAATCGAATGAGTAACTGCTCGTTTGTTTATTCATACCACGATGTATTTTCCTGGTATTATATTATTGTCAGTGGGCTCTTGAACTTGAGGTTCGGCACCTTCCTCCATATTGTCATTTGGAGCTTCATATGAGTCATCACTCTCTACATAAACAACTTCCTCGAAGTTTTCATTGTCACTACTTAATTTTGATTGTTTCTTGAATGTATTCTTCCAAGCTTTTCTCTTAGTTTTTGATAACTGAGGGGTTTTAGTTTTGATTACCTCAGCAACATCTATTCTTTTCCTCTTCCTTTGATGTAGCTTCAGAGAAGGTTTCACTGTTGCTAGTAGAATGTTCTCCCAGGATGCAATGAAAGTTGATGCAGTGTAATTCTGGCTTTCTGTAGTAGACCTGCAAGAGGTTGTACATTGGATCATAGTTTGCTTACCCGTAGAACTTTACTCTTCTGTGATAGTGTCAACAATGTTTTTCTCTTTATAATATCGTTTTAACTTTTCAGGATCAAATTTTTCGTTGTTAATGGAATCTCAATTTAGAGGAAAAATACCTGTTTGTCTAAAGTCATTCACCACAACAGGTTCTCTAATACTCCAAGTTTTTCCAAAAGGTTGGAAAATTCGCATTTTGTTAGCTGTTTTCCTAAATTTTTGCGCTGCCAATCTGTTAACAAAGCATCCCATGAAGACTTGAGCCCCTTGAAGATAGACACATCCAAAGGCTGCAACATTGCAGAAGTATGTGGCAGTAATTTAAGAATAGTCACATATTCTGCCATGGATAACTCAATCAGTTCAGGTGAAATGTGCGATAAATGACCATCGTAAATCAAAAGAGCAGGCCTTTCAACACAATTTTTCAAAAAAACATTTTTGAACCATAGAAAAAATACTTGTTCAGTCATCCAAGCATTTTCAGATACATAGTAAGATGTCTCTGGATACTCATCTGTATCAAGCATATTGTCCCATAATCTTTTGCCCTTGTGGAGGATCATAGGTGGCAATATGGATCTGTTGGCATTAGCACATGCCAAAACTGTTGTTGTTTTCAGTCCTGAGCCTGCAGTTTGCCTTTGTGTTATTTCTCTGAGTCCAGTTACAACCTTAGTATGGCTAGTTAAAGCAGTTTCATCTGCATTCCATATCCTAGCAGGGTATTGTTGAAGTTTTAAATTATTCATAATAGTTTCCAGTTGATCAAAGAAATTGTAAACAACAAATGCAGTTAACCCATTTCACCTTAGCTTTACTTATTTTCTGGTTATTATGTCTACTGCATAATGACTTAAATCTGTAGTATTTGACAGTATTTTTTCATAGGGTAACAGGGTTCTTATCTATGAGAGTAGGAAAAACTGCTGCAATGGCATTAGGCGGAGGAATCATTCTTCTTCAAATAGCTAATGAAAAGGGTTACATTAAAGTCAATTGGGACAAAGTTAATAGAAACATAGATCAAGTTGCAGATAAAGTAGAAGAGCAACTTACTGGAGAAGCAGTAACTTGGATGGATAAGGTAAATTTTGAACATATACCGGGATAATAGGTTAAATTAACAAAAATTATAGAATCTTTGTGAATTTTTACCAAAAAAGAATTATATTTAACATATAATCTGAGGATGTGACCATAAGTGTGGAATGCAAAAAAATGTGTTAATATTGTTCTGAAAAACTGGTGATATAGTTAATATATCTTTATTGAGATGCAATGTACTGTAAGTTATAAAATATGTCGATATTGTTGTTCTTTTCAATTGTTTCTTCTTAAATGAACAAATATTCATATAAAAAGAAAGGTGTCTCTCAGACAATATGTTCTACTTGAATACATTACCGTTTTTTTTTCTCAATACCTCAATTAAGCTTTAAATTGTAACATCACCCCATTAAACTGATTTAACTAGTTTACTTTTGAACATTTAAGGAATCCTTATTGTAGGATAAAATACTTTCCTCTTACAAAAACTTTTACTGGTTATACCAGTTGTATATTTTGCAGCTACTAAAATTTCCTTTTATCATTAAGTGAGTCCTGTGAGTCTTGGCCTGCTTAACAATGTTCTTCCATTCCACCCTGTCGGACACTTTCCTTCGCCACTGCATGATGTTCATGGTTTTAAGATACCTCTCTATGTCATCTATCCATCTTTTACATGGCCTTCCTCTTGTTCTGTTTCCTTGGGGCTTCCATCTCTGGACTACTTTTACAGCCCGATTATCTGGCATTCTTTCTAGGCGACCAAGCCAGTTTAGTCTTTGTGACTAAACAAATCTAACAATATCTGCACTCTGCATTAGTTCATCCAGCTCGTGGTTCATTTTAATTCTCCACGAACCATCGCTGCATTGGGTTGGTCCAAATATCTTCCTTAGTATTTTGCACCCAAAATATTCTCAGTTGATTTTTATCAGTGATTGAGAGGGTCCACGTTTTACATCCATATGTGACCACTGGTCTAATTACTGTTTTGTAGATTCTAAGCTTAGAGCCACTATTCAGTAGCTTACTTTTCATTAAGTCTTTGTATGCATAAAAGAACTTATTACCGCTAAGAATCCGTGATTGTATTTCTTGACTGATGTTGTTGTTGTTGTCATTTATTATTGAGCCTAGGTAGGGATAAGTGGAGGCATATTTGTAGGTATGGTTGTCTACCTTCAGATTCTCATGTTGATTCCATTTTGTGCACTCCATATGTTTTGTTTTGCTTTCATTTATATATAGACCAAACGTAGCAGCTTCTCGTTTCAGTTCTATAACTTTTTCGCTTAATACTCTTTTGTTGCGGCTCATCATGGCAACATCATCCGCATATGCGCATATTTGCATTGTATTAATACAGCCGTTTATATCCAGTTTTCTAACAACAGCTTCTAAAGTTAGATTAAAAAGTGTTGTTGATAAGGCATCACCTTGTCTAACTCCATTTTGCTGTCCATAGCTTTGGAATCCTCCAGAGTCATTCATATAAGTTTAACCAACTTATTGGGTATCCCTAACATAGATAGTTGCTTTAACATCTTTTGTCGATCTACTCCATCAAACGCCTGTATGAAATCGATATACAAGTTGTAAATAGGTATGTTATATTCAACACATTTTTCATGTATACCTCTTAACATATATATTTGGTATATAGTTGACCACTTTGGTCTGAAGCCACATTGGTATTCACCAATCATCTCCTCCGAAAACGATTCCAGGCGGCTGGATAATTCCTAATAATATCTTGTAAACGACATTTAAAACTGTTATGCCCCTATAATTTTTGCGTTTGTCCCTAAATGAGTCGTTTGTATCCCCCTTTGTACATAGGAAGTATGATTCTTACTTCCCAATCTTCTGGGATGACTTCTAGTGTCCATATGCGGTCGATTAGTTTATGGATACGCCTCCATAGCGCATGACCACTATTCTTTACCAGTTCTAAAACGTTGATTAGTCTAATTTTTTTTTCATTAGTTAAAAAAGTTTAACTAGTTTCATATATATTTTTTTAATCAATTGAATAATTTTTACTTAGCTCAAAAAGATATATACAAAGGCACCTGGAAATCGCCAAGACAGACTTATATTTTTTGTTAATATTAGTACTTACTTTTAATAATTTTCACAGCTTACACTCTATTTAAGGGAGATTATTTTTACTCTAACTATCGCTGTTGTTGTTGCATATTAATGTAATCATTACTGGTTCGATTACAGAATCAACATGAGCATCTAACTCCCAAATTCAGTTTTTGACCTTCTGTACATCGGAAATAGCATTGTGCCATGCTAATGGCGTAACCTCATCAAGAGCAGTATTTAGCAGTCGCTTCAAATCTTCAATTTTAAAGGTTACATTATGACTTGCCACATAACCCTTTGTTTGTGCCCAGATTAGCTCAATCAGGTTCAATTCGCAGTGATATGATGTCTAAAAAACAGTAACACCACAAGCACGGGCCATTCCATCTAAATAATAGATTTTTCTATTTTGTTCACGGAATTCGTGACTTTTTACGCAGATAGTTACGAAGCCATGTAATGATTTCAGGATTTTCTATCAAAGCTGAATTCTTGTTGAACTTAGCATAAGTAAATTCCAATTTATGTAACTGCTTTTACAAATTTTCACGACTCATTTGGGTAATTATTTCATTAGTTTTTATACCGAAAAGGTGTTGTCTAGGTAGGAATTTCCTTATTAAAATAAAAAGAATGAATTGTACATCTTACTTCTGAATTGTTACGTTCATTCAATCCAATTGGTTTTCGACCTCGTTGATGTGTCTGTGAGACCTCAACTTCACCCGAGCATTGTTTTTGATGGACAATCCTGTAAACAGTGGATGACGATACTGCTGTCATACATTAACAACGACTTATTGCCTCCGCCTGGGACAAGTCATTTCACCTATTATTTGCCAGACTATAATAAGTTAAAACATATTGACATATTTATTTACATATTCCAAATATTAATTGAGATATACAAAACTACATACATATTAATGTTTGATCACCAGTTGTTGCGATCTGCACATACGATGACCTCAATGTAACAGTTGGGGTCATCAAAAAGGGAAGAGAAGACATTTTGTTCAATCCAACACTCGTGGGCCTTCGAGCCGGATTTTCTTTTCTGTTTTTTTTTGTGGATTTAGGGTCTTTTACTAGTAGATACCTTTTTTACATTGTTTTTTTTTGTCTAGTTGCGGTTTCCTAATGATATGAGCCTTGTCGGTTATGATAACCAGTTAATATGTCGTTACTTACGGTTTCCTTATGGTAGGGACCTTATCAGTTATCATAACCATTTTGTTTGCCTTGCTCACAAGTTCCTTATGGTAGGAGCCTAGTCGGTTGTGATAACTATTTGTTGGGGTATTTCTTTTATCTGAAAAGATACCTCGTCGTCTGCCGAAAGACTATTTCTTTTTGCATTCCTTTCTCGAGCTTCTCTTCTGAGAGAGGTTTTTTGCGGTTGTTATACCCATTTTACATTACGGTATATCTTTTATACTACAAGATATCCAGTCGTTTGCAGAAAGACGATTTTCTTCTTTATATTAATTTTCAAGGTGTTCTTTTTACAAAGACTTTTTTACGGTTTTTATAATCATTTTACAGTGAGCCTTCTTTTATACTGAAGATAACTAGTCTACCGAAAGACTATTTCTCTTTCATATACTTTGTTTAAGGTGCTCTTAAACGCTACCATTCCTTATACTAAAAAGCATCCTTTTCTTCTATCTAGATGAATAATCTAGATGTTTTAAAGATGTTTGAAACACACGTATGGTTGGGACATGTAAGGCCCCAAGGTACGTCGGTGAAGACGTCTTTTGCGATAGCGGTGGTGATATCAATTCATTGGGTAAGGTACAACACAAACTTGTTGCTGCATATATCAAGTACGTTCACTTGGTATATTTATTTCATATTTGTTTTGAACAATTATCTTAGTTGTACCGCGATCGTGATTAAACATTGTCAATTGAACATTTTGCCTGCGTTTTGTGTCATTTACTATATTCTATATTTGTATTTTGTTATTACACATTAGTGTTCTATCCCTTAAATGGTCATCTTTTTGGTGTTGTTTCATATTAACTAATATTTAAGTTTGTATAAACTCTAGTTATAATTGTGTGTTTTATTTTAATACACATACCCAATGCGAAAGGGAGAAACCAGCGAATTCTGGATTGAACAGAATATCTTATCTTCTCTTTCTGATGATCGCAATTGTTAAATTGAGGTCATCGTATGTGCATAACGCAACACCAGTTATTTAGCAACAATTAAAATTTTTCATCTGTAGAATCCGTAGGTAAAATATTTTAATCATAAATCACTCTGTATACTGTTTTTTAAGTTTGATTTTCATGATTTTACTTATGTATTTCATGTGTTATTTTAGGTAAAGAATTTTGCTAGAAATAACACTCCTTTTTCTTCTGGATTTGTTGGTGGTTTTCTAATTGGTTTAGCCTCAAATTGAAGAAGCTCAAATAGTAAATTCCAAGAGGAACAGTTATTTGATTTTCCTATTTTTATTTAGTTTTATTGTACTAATAGTTTATGTTGTTACAAAGTTGCTTATACACTGTGCAAGTCTTATCTACAGAGGGTGATCAAGTGATTAGAGATGTAGGGTGTAAAATGGAAGTTTTTGTTTAAAAAAGATTTTTTAACTACTCAAAATATGTCTAGTAATTTATTTATACACACATGATTGTCTATTAATTTATTGGCAAGCTTTCTATACATTTTCTGTAATTGTTTCATTCATATATCAAAACTCTATTAAAATCTTAATCAACCAACTTTAAGTTATCAGAAATTTATTCAATATTTTCATTTTTATCAACTCCTGAAGTTTTTCATGTGTAGAAACATTTAGTGTATTGTGGTCCAATAGGTTCTAGTCCATTTTGCATTACCCAGGGTGCACCGCAAGGAGGCATACTAGCTTATACGCCTCATGTATAGAGTAAATGTATTTTATCTCCAAAAATATCTCAACACTGACTCTAAATTATGCTGTACCAGCAGTGTCGTCAGTCTACATTTATATATACATATTTTGTATCCGTTAAAAACCCATTTTGAAGCAATAACTTTGATTTTACACATTTGCTTTAATAATTTGATCACCATCTGTACATATCACCTGAGAAAGACTGTAAAATGCTTAAAAAGTTGATATAGGAGGAATGACATCATTAATTAGTTAGCAAAATACTTTTAAATTAGAATTTAAACCAGAAGGAATAATCGTGATAAAATGTATACTAACATTTTGGTTAATTATGTTTTTATTGTTCCTATTTTCTTTTCATGCTATATTATTATTGTTTTGAGTAATAAATAAATACGAGATAGCAATAACACTTTGTAATTATTTTAATTTCTTAATAGAACAACAAAAAATATAATGAGACCTTTTTATAGGGTGAACGATTTGTTGATAGAAAGTTAGACCAAGCAAAGGACGTTGTTAAAAAGGGACAGAAGAAAGCGAAGCGATGGTACTCTGGTAACAATTGCCAGCTGAAGGAAGTGCATATATTTATGATATCATTTGTAGCAGGTGTAGCCATAGGAATAGGCACTTCTTAAACTTAAAATAATGTTAGACTTTTTTAGATCTTATTACAAGTGCTATAAGCAATATAACATTTAACAAACGCTTAAAAACATAAATATCTCGAATAATTTCTAGTTTTCAACGTTTTAAGTATTGTTTGAACAGTATTTAACTGTAGTGATATCAATTTTTATTTACTAATATAGCGTATTTGCCAAAATAAATAAAACCAAACCTAAAAATTATATTAATTACTTGCCAATTATTCACACTTACAGCCCTGTTGCCATTATTCCAGTACCAGTCCAGTCCAGCGATCTAAAAAGCTCTTGAAACACTCAAGTGAAAATCAATAAGAAAGCAGTTCTCTGTTTTAAGTGACAAAATGTAGATTCTGATCTTTGTTTAACTTTTTCGCCATGAATGCGACCAAAAAACTTATCCACATGAAATAATAGCATGTGTTGACTGTATAAAGTTTGTACCAGTACTGGATAGACTGTCTACACGATTCGAATTGAACAGTAGAACGGGATCCAGTACCTGTTTACATTATGCCAGTTGCTAAAATACTGCAAACCGAGCATAAAATAAGAGTTTGGTGACTATATAAATCAGCTGAGTGCCCTATTCCGTTGATAGCTGATAGCCGATATGTTGGATTGACCACATGAGATAACGAACTAATAGGAAAGCGCCGGCTTTCTTGGAAGGAGCGTGGCTTACAACTCACCGACACACGTGCCATCAAAGGATGTGAAAAAAATTACTATTTGGTTTTTGGTATTGTTTGTTTTGGCATATAGTGCACATCATTACTCGAATTTTATTTCGCATCATTTTTAAAGAGAACTATGATATATTTTCGTAGAACGTATTCATACATTCTAATAATCTGATATGTAACTTACTTTAATTTACTGGAGACATATTTATATTACCAAACCATAAGCCAATAAATCATACCCCATAAATTATAGTTTTTTTTTAAGTCAAATATATTTATAGTACAGATAATAATGCAGTTGCTTGCTAAAGAAATTGGCAAAAGCTAGCAGACGACTTGGAAAAATTCCTACACCATACAAATACATTATAAGACAATGGGATATAGGCAAACGCAGTCCAGGACGAAGAAGAGCCTCATGTTTAAATGTTTAAACTAAATTCTGTGGTGTTTGGGAGAAACACGATAACTGCATTTAGTTTTTGATCTATTTTCGTTTGATCTGACTATGGTATGTCCATCACGTCTAGAAAACGTGCCACGGCTAGGTATAATGTCGATAAGTCCCTAATCTTCAAATTTTGTTTGGTATAGTCCTGTTAAAATATTATATCATGTACCCGAAAACAAAACTAGACAATAACGTTTTGGTTCATATCTGATAATTGTTAGTTATCATGTCTAGATCAAATAATATGCACATTCTTTTGTGCAACCATTTTGTTAATTGCTACCATTGAGACATTTGTGAAAAAAAGAAATGCCACAATTTCAGTTCCACAGGACTGGGGATCAGTAATTAAAATGACGAGCCCTCGTGTTGACGTAAAATTTATGAAACAAACTCGATTTTTTCAGATTTTCCAAACTTCTAACACATAACCTAACCTAATCTAACACATTTTATAAAACAAAATGTTGATAAAGATAAAAATTATTTTGTTTGGAATAGCGTATTTTGGCTACATTACAAAAAAGATAGTGATATAGGCTTCAAATACACATTAGATCCCAACGAACCGTTTCGTTCAATGTCCATGCTAAGAAGAGGCAGGTCAACTTCCATGTCGCGCAATTCTGCGTTTAATATTGTTTCGCCCCCTATAAAACGGTAAAATCGGTGGTAAACAAATTCAAAATAGTCATTTTTTGTGTAAAATTTTTCGTAGAATTCGAATTCGTTGTCAGAAAACCTCTAAAAGTTATGTGGAAGCTGAAAAACGAAGGAAAAACGCTAAAAAAGGCGGAAAAATTTTTTTGGACTCTTATAGGTCGCAGCGGCTTCAAACATATAAAAAGGATTTCTGAGACAACTTTTATTCGAAAGTACTTGTATTAAGGCGTCTTTTGTAAAAATTTAGAAGGTGTTTTTGAGATATGAATGTTTCAAAAAAGCGCTTTGTTTCGCATTTTGTGGCTTTACATGACGTCATATGGCAATTCTGACACCGGGATCGTGTTCAGCGGGAAATTTTACATTGGAAAACTTAAGCATTTTAGCTCGCTGTACTAAAAAAATCGGCGAAACATTGAAAAAAAATTGATAAAAAGCGTGAAACTTCAATAGCGCACCACGGCCGCCATTTTGAATATTAAGGTCTAAAAATTTGACAATCATGTTTTTTTGTCTAGTACAACATGTGTGTAAAATATCAGCCAAATCGGAGAGGGTGACCCCACCGACTTGTGTCGATTATTGCTGGAATTACCCATGTGCCATTATATCAAAAACAGAAATGTTAAAACATATTTTGTTTGCTACATCTGTTATAGCACTTAATAAAGTATTTAATGAAATATATTTGGTTTTTTATTTTGTTGCGTTCAAAAACCTTCTCGAATGTTAAAATTGTCCTACTGAAAACATGCATTTTGAAGTTAACACATGTCTCCCAAAAACCACAGAATATATTATAAAGACAGTTTTACATTATGCTATTTTCATGCTAGGCAAGAGCCATGCAAGACAGATCATGGAACTGCGCATGCCCACGGGCTATTTCCATGCAATTCCTGTGCTAGACGAAAAATTAGAAGATGTTCTATTTTTCATGCAATTTATCGTTAAAATTCATGTTGCCAACATAACAATTTATAATAGTTTACAGAATAAAACATAACCTTATCTTTAGCGTCCCTTAACCCACATGTGTATTGTTGTGTTTTGATTTAAATTAAGTTTATTAAGTGGTGATAAATAGATATACTATGTCTAAAGTTAATGTAAAAACGACTGGGTGAGTCGTTGACTATGGATGATTGTTGCTACAACAGCAATATTCAACAATAACAATGTTTTCTTTTCTTTTGTTGACATCCTTCACCCTTTTAATAACAATAAATAGTGTATATTTATTTATTATATTATTTATTTTAGTACTTAATTATATTTTTTATTTAAAATAAAATAACCTCAAATTGATAAATATTTTCTCTGTTGGCAACAATGAAAGTGGGATCTAAAATTGCACAGAAATATCTTTGATGTAAAAAGGTCAAGCTAGGCAAGAGATGTGCCATGCAAGACGGACTTGCATAGCATGAGACTTGCATAGCCTAGATGTAAAGCTGCCTTAAGACAATGGGATATAGGCAAACGCAGTCCAGGACGAAGAAGAACCTCATGTTTAAAATAAATTGTTTAATCATTCACTTTTTTCTCTATAACGTTCGTATTCTAACAGTGTACTTACAAAATAACATTACAATAGTTCAATGCCTCAAATATCTGGATCGGAACTCTTCTAGTTCATCTTCGCTATCACTATCATCGTCGTCGTCATCATCATCATCCAAGTTAATTATCACTTTCTCTGTAACTAAGTCCACTGCCGGTGCACTTTTCATAAAAAACTGTTCTGCCTGTTTGGCATTTTCACACCGTGATTTCCATTCATCCTCTGAAAATGTCTCAAAAAATTGATCACGTAAAACCTCCACATCTTTAAAGTTAAAACTTACATTCCGTTGTGCAACATAGTTTTTTATGGATGCCCAAACTAACTCAATGGAGTTTAATTCGGGATGGTAAGGTGGTAGACTTAGTACCGAATGTCCATTTTCCTCTGGAAGTTTATCTATTTCATTTGATTTATGATGAGGTTGATAAAATTTTACTAAAGTGTATAGCTCGGCTCTTAACATATCATCTGTAAATGTCATATTTTTCTTTCTTAGTTTATTTCATCTTTTTTTGATGCAGCCGTTATATTTTTTCACTTTGAACATTGTGGAATGGGGCATTATCAATCACTAATACACTTTGTGGTGGTAAGTTCGGAATCAACGTTTCCACTAGCCACTTTTATAATTTTGAAAGTTCATCTTCTTCTTCTTAGGGTGCCTGTCCGTTCCGAACGTTGGCGATCATTCTGGCTATGATGATTTTGTTGGTTGCTATACGAAATAGCTGTGTTGAGGTCTTTCTATACCATGCTCTCAGGTTAGCAAGCCAGGATATTCTTCTTCGTCCTGGGGCTCTTTTTCCTTCAATTTTACCCTGCAAAATGCATTGGAGTAAGTTCATCGGACTATGGTAATCACCAGTTTTTAAATTTGATTTAAATTTTAAGTAGGAATTTTTTATGAACCCTATTTCTCCTCCTGCATGATCTATTATTAACCTTTGTCCTTAAAGATAGGCTTACGCAAACCATCGTGAGGATCATCATTCCAACTTTTATTGAATGTGTGACAAGAGTGGATGTATGTTTACTACATGCATCCTATATGTACCCACTCCATACATACTGTATGGAGTGGGTCCATGTATACTATAGGACGATTTTCGTTTCTGTACCTCTTAATACTTCGCAAAAATGCTATCCTTTTTTGTTGGATGTCAGGTTTTTCCATAAGCAATTTTTTTGTTTTTTTGGAGGTATTTGGAAGTATTTGTTTCTTTGGAGATTATTTGCAGGTAATTATTAGAAATTTTATTAGCAGTTACCCTTTGATAGATTAGGGGATAGATTTGACAATCGTCAAATCAGCAGTTGCCAGATTACAAAAGATGTTTGCAATTAATCTCGAAAGAGACAAATATCTACTCGTTATTACTTCATATATAATAAAAATTGCAGAATTCATAAAATAGTATAATCGAAATGTACTTTTTAAAATCTTTATCTCTTTAATTGGAAACATTCAACATATGCATTATAAAAACATGCTAACACTGCCAAGCCCAAATATTTGTGACATTTGCGGCTATATTCAGCTTGTACTTTCGGTAAACTCAACCGAATTCCATTGTAACGGCACCGGATTAATAAGTCCTACACCAATGTAATTGATATGCGTCTGATCTGTTTGTTTCTGCTAACAAAATGGAACTGAGTATATTCGGGTTACTGACGGATCCTCCCCCCAAATTTATATTCTTGTCAAAACTCAGTGACATTGCAATTCTTGACGAGCTGTACGTCCTTTAAATTTCACCATACACAGGATTGGCTTGTTCTTTGGAACATTTCGTTTAGTCTATCTATAAATGGTCTTGTCTTATATAATATGTCAAAGTTAGGTGAACCTTTGAGGTTCATTTATCCAGTCTTGCTACAGAAGGGACAGGATGTGATCATCCCGCATCTAACAAAGATCTTCAAAGCTAGTTTGGCATGGAGATATATTCCAACCGCATGGCGAAGGGTGAAAGTCACATATATCCCCAAGGTTGGTAGGGTAATGGACCAGACCCCCAAGTCATACAGACCTATAAGTCTATCCTCTTTCCTAGCAAAAACGTTGGAAAGATTGATAGACAGGTATATTAGGGACGAAGTGCTGATGGAGAATCCACTTAGCGATCGCCAATATGCATACCAGCCAGGAAAGTCAACTGACTTGGCGCTGGATGATCTTAACAGACTGCTCTCAAAGTCGCTAGATGACAAGGAGATAGCGGTGGCGACGTTTCTGGACGTGGAGAGAGCGTTTAATAACGTCTCCTTCGAGTCTGTAACGAACGCGCTTAAAAGGAGAGGAGTTCCTGCCTTCATATGCGAGTGGACAAAGGCGACCTTAACAAACAGGATCATTGTGTCCTCGTTAGGTGAAGCCACTATTGAAGCGAAGGCAGGAAGCGGCTGCCCACAAGGAGGAGTTTTATCCCCATTACTGTGGGCTACGCTTATGGACGACCTACTTAATACACTGTCCAGGGAGGGTTTTTACTGCCTGGGTTATGCGGACGAGTTGGTAATTGTAGTCCGAGGACGCTTTACCAAAATAATTTCGGAGAGA